CAGCAAAGAAACTGTTAATTATGTTTTGTAGCGTCTATGTCCTTCAAATGACCTAAAAGGTCTACGTTTTAGAGGTAGCCCTTGGGGGGGGGGGCACAGGTACTCTGTCGGCGACATACGGATATGATTTATGATCGAGTTCTGAAACAAATTCACATAGACTTTATATTAGCAGTCTGCGTATGAACAACTCGAGCACAATTAGTGCTTCTATAACCACCTTCTATAACCACGAAAGAATCAGCCATGTTATAAAATTGTTGTCCTGAACCGTCTGAAAATATTTCACTGCCATGATCAGTCGGCTTATAATATAGTAATTGTAAATCAATGCATTATCCAAATGAGGTTTGTGCAATATGTGCAACTTTTGTTGGCCCTCAAGGAGCAACCTGTTAGAAGTTTATTTTATAGGCAGCTTTATGACATGTCAGTGTATGGAACGAAATCATGCACAGCTGTGCATGATTTCATCATATAGCTAAATGTGATGAAATATGCAACATTTATTCTGTTGAATGTTTGAAAAATTTACATTTTCATAGACACAAGTAAGGGTTCTGTCTTGTTCTTGTTCTTGTTCTTGTACTGCACAACACCCCTGGATTGGGGTAAGGCGTGCAGGGGAGCTGTGCGATGCGCTATTGCTGCGTCCTCAGGTGTTGTAGTACTGCAGCGTTGAACTTCGTGGATTCCGCAGTTCACAGAGGAAGTAGTGTTGTTGTAGCATGTGAAAGGGACATACATGTACACTAGTTTTGTGAACAATACTTGTAAACTGGCACATTGTTGTTACAGAGGAAATCAAATAAGGGAAAGGAAAAGAAGAAAAGGAGAAAGGAGGTGAGTTATATCTTAGGGAGTAAATATTTGACTACTATGTTAAGCCCAGGAATTTTAAAGAAATGAAAAAGAAAAGGTAATGTTACCGATATACCAAGCTTTTCTGATCATGTAAATACATTTTATTTTATTTATCCAGGGAAAGTACACTCAGGTTGTTACTAGACCTTTTTCTAGGTATCCCTGACTGCTAACACTAATTACATAATAACCAGTGTGCACTAAACAACAATATCATCATGTTGATATTGATTACCACTGATATATAGTGATAAGGTGATTCTTAAATGTCCATAATACTGTACATAGCGTGTAACTAGAAATTGGTATTTTTCTGCCCTCTAGGAACAGGCAAAGCTGGCAGCCTCCTTCACTATTGTGGAGGCAGCAAATAAGGTACATGTATTACAAAACTAGATTTCACTGGATTGGTTCTATCACATTGCATGAGAATGGCTCAATTGATTGCTAAGCTTTCTTTAGGCCAAGATTGGGTGAGCAGTAGTTACAAGAACGTGGATGTTGGGGAAACCAACCATTGACATCACAACCTTAAGCATGATTCTCAATTTAGGAAATCATTGACCAGGATGTAACTTCATAGTGTTGTGTCTTTCCATATGTAGCAAGAAGACCCAATGGCAACAATGACTCCATTCAAGAAATATGAAAGGAATGGGTGAGTACATATGCAAATACACAATGAACCTACTTGTACTTCAGGTAGTATCTTATATTATTAGTTATAATCTACTTTCATTGTGCAAATTGTATTGGTTTAAGAAATATTTCCTGTTCTTAATCAACAGGCTGAATCTGGTCATTGAGTGTAAAAAGGTGGCTGAGTTGGACAAGGATACAGTGGACTGGGCCTTCTCCATCACTAAGAGTAACATGCAAACATTGTAGGTCATCAAGTGGTAGGATTTTTCTAATTTATGGAATTTTTGTATATTTACAACGTTATCTCTTTGGAAAATAGCAACTTAAGTTTAACTGCAACTGAACAGGTGTGTACATTAAAACATATTGTAAAAATAATGTTATTTCTTGCAAGGTTGGTTTATTCTACTCATGATAATAAAGGTATCACTATGATGAGTTATGAAAGTGGTGACCAAAGTTCACAGTGCTTGTCATAAAGTCGTTCTCTATGTCTGTAAGGTATGAGGAGAGTAACTGGGGCTGGAATGATCGTCTGAAAAAAGAGGAGCTGACAGAAGACAAGGCCTGGTACCTGGTGGCCAGGAACCAGGAGGGCCAGCCTGTTGCTTTCTCACACTTCAGGTTCGACATGGATGAGGACGAGGAAGTTCTGTATTGGTGGGTCCCCTTCAGTTTTATACATGATTTTCAAACCAGTATAAACAATGTAATGCAAGAACCCCCTCACTGACTGTTGTGTAACAGGATGCTATGTGACATTTTCAAGCATATATTGGTGTACAGTTTTAAGAGAGTTCAAGACATGCCTTATTTTCTTTGCCTGCAGCTATGAAATCCAACTGACAAAGCCAGCACAGAAAAAAGGACTTGGGAAGTTTATGATGCAGATTCTTCAGCTCCTGGCAAACAAGTAAGAGCGTGTTGTGGAGGTGTTAGAAAAAATGCTGAAAAGAACACTAGAATTTACAACTTATTGTGAATGGGTCCTTGGAGTGGTCACATTACTTGGAATTTGTCTGCAAGTATCTAGAAGAAAGTATAAATACAGTCTTTTTGGTAGTGACATGCAACACTTATCTCCAGTACATTAGGGACAGAATTTTAGATACAAGGTCTACAGACCAGCAAAATGCCTAACTCACAGGACCATTATACAGGGAATTTAGAATCTGTGTGAATAAGTAACCATACAGCCAGGTTTCTCGCACAGACATAAGCCAGTCACATGGAGGAAAAATTAAACCTACACTTCCTTTCATCAGATTACTACTGGTAAGCAATGTATAACACCAGTCTTCTGTATATGTAAATCCATGTAGATGTGAGTGCTCACAATTTCAATTTGCTGTTCAGGGCCCAAATGCTGAAGGTGATGGTCACAGTCTTCAAAATGAACACAGAATCCAGGGACTTCTTCCTCAAGGGACTGAAGTGAGTATTGATATAACTTTGAAAGGAGAAAATTAAATAGCAAACAAGTTTTCACTGTCATGTTATTGATATTGAGCAGTTTGGAATGTGAAAACATTGCAAAAAAAAGAAAACCATGTCTATCTCAGTTCAATTCTGAAGTTAACATATCCATAGTTTAGTGCCATTACAATGATTTGCCAAACTCTGCATCATGCATCAGAAAAATAATTTCATCATAGAACATAATAGTACATTGGGGGTTTCTTTTACACAACCAGTAAATAAAAATGAAATGACTCTCATGCTTACATTTTGATGCCTATCATGTATCAGACAGCTTCTTCAGAGCTTTTGACTCACTGGAGTACTAGCTTCTGACTGCAATATGTAGCCAATTTAGTTGGTGCTGTTGCAGCCTGAACACCATTCCAAACGTGGCCAAGTTTGTATCCTCACTTGGCCATAGCACCATCAACACTGGCTACATATACAAAAAGCAGTATCCCAGTCAGAAGCTGACAAACATGTCTGATAGGCATCTAAATGTAAGCAGGTATCTTTTCTGGTTGTATTAAAGAAAATCTCAATATCCTCTACATCATGCAGTTGTAATTATGAACTATTCCAACTGCTGTGTGATTGGCAGGTTTGAGCTGGATGAGACAGACCCAGGTCTGTGTGACCCCATGGAAGCAGACGAGTACTGCTATGAGATCCTCAGCAAGAAGACGATTCTCGGAGCCAAGAAGCAGCAGGAAGGGACCCACTGCTGCTCAGGTGGACCACACAACCACCCTCACTGATGACTACATGGCTGAGATTTACATACATGTATCTGCATCTTAAATAATACTCCTTAGACTAAACTATGGTTATCACATCATTATTGCTACAATTGGAATTGAAGATGCCCAGCAAGTGCATCTTTGTAGTACTGCATGTGTCTTCTAACCACTATAATTAGTTTGTGTTGGTTACACTAGTGAAGCGGGGATACATTATTTTTGTAGGACATTGTATACATATTAGGAAGATGTATGGCAACACTGAATTGTGTATATTGGGAATTGCAGAAGTAAAAATGCCAGACCTATACTTATTAACTATCTCAACATTGATCTCAAAGTTTACATACTCATGTACTGTATGGTTTCCTGATCATATTTTCAAGATGAACTTGGCTTATATTTATACATACTTGGCTTTGTTGGCGTATCAGTGTAACATACCCCTGGCAATTGAAATCAGTAGTCCTTTCCAACACCAGCAATGCAAGGAAAGGTCAAAAAATGTAGACCTGCCTAGGTACCCAGTGGCAGACCAGATGCTGACACATTGCTCCCCACAATTCCTGCTCTTGGGGCATTATGGTGTCCTGCCCATGTGTGAATGTAGAAGTACTGCTGAGGTAAAATATACTTAACAGTTTGGAAGTGTGCTGACATTGAGGTGAAAATTTTTAATACAAGTGGACCAATTATTTCCAACTTTTGTCCTATCAAGGCTGGGAAAGTAGTAGAAATCATGCTGAATAAATTGTGGGTATCACCCCAACTATACGTTCTTCTATGTGGATGTTGGTCTATTTTTTTAGGATAGCAGCAATGGTTTATATCAATTAGCTGGTTATATGAAAAGAGGGAAGACTGCAAAGCTATGAAATGAATAAAAAGCTGCACATTCATCCAGTAAAAAAAGCTTGATAACAGCTGTGGAGACGTGTTAAGAATACATGAATGACATTTTCAAATCAAAATTTATTTCATGCTTTGCCATAATATTTCTGGAGATAAAAGACAAGTATTTAACCTACTGTAAAACCAACACCACCTTCCATTTTATACATGTCATCCTCACCATAGTTCACATCTGATATAAACTATTGTTTACTACCGGTACCCCCTTCTGATGCACCTATCAGTGTACAACCACCCAAAGGGAGGGGGTGGGCTAAGGAAATGTGTACTTGAGCTGTAACTCTAATAGACATAAAGGTATGAACAAGAAGTTAAAATCATAAACGTCAGAATTGTACAAATTTTCATGTTCATGCGTTAAGCTGCAATGTTCCTGCCCTTCACACTTAAGTTTAGCTTCATTCCCTTATGTCAAATATCCAACCTGTCCTCCTCTTGTAAGTGTATCTACATTGATAGGTGCATAGTAGTGATAAGGTCTTCTAAACTTCAAAATCACACAAAACAACAATACTCCTGCCATGTTCTCCAGTGCTTGGGACATCATGTCCATTACAACAGCAGTTGTCAACAGAAACCTAGCATACCTGGAAGGTGTTGTCATCATGTAGACAAGTACAAATAGCTGCATTTGAACAGAAGAGGACACAACAATGTACAGTTTCACTTGAAAGAACAGTAGAATTGTGTCAATGGCAAGAAAGTATCAAAATTCAAAAACACCGTAAAGCTTGCAGGTAGAGAGCATAACATCAGTGACCATGCTATAAGATATTCGAAGAGTACATATATCTATGTCACTTTTGTGCATTATGAGCAAGAAAATAGAACTTGCAGCTTCTTTGTCTTAAATCCTCCCTCTTCAGGAAAGATTTAGCTGTGGAGATTACTCTTCTGTTTCACCTTATTTTTATGATCTACCTGCACAGGATTTGCACTGGTACACAACAGCAGTGAGAACAGCAATACAACATGGCATAAGATAAACTTTCCAACAATCCCAACACCACAAACTCTTGAGGTAGACCAAAACAGCTACCCGTAGGCATCAATTAATATACCACAATAACTAGGTGAATATTTTAGAAATATATTTGTTAAATCTATACCATTTAAGAGCAGAATCCATCCAACACAACTTTCAAAAAAAAATCTTTCCTTTACGGGGTATTAAAAAGCACAAACAGAAAGCCACCCATTTCAATTTTCCTCTTTAAGCTTAAAACAACTAATATGGACAATTTAGTGAAAGGAAAAACATGACTTGTAGTAGTGTTTTCACAGATATTCTTCTTGTGTTGCCCTGTGCAAGAAATGTGTGCACTGTTCACTCTACAGTAAGGCCAGCCTTCACTTTTACCATGAGGGCAACAATTTTTTCTCTACCCACGTACCCGCAGCTTGTAGTGTATAAAGGGAAGACAAAATGTATCCAGTAGATACAATGTACATGTTCACACAAACACTTACACTTGCAGGGCTGATACATTAAAAGCAACACAACACTGTGTGTGTGTTTCTGTGACAGTGTGGGATCTAAACAAGTTCAGACATGGGAAGCATGTCCCGTTCTCCTACAATGTAGAGGAAAGTACTTTGTATGAAACATGCTGTTTTAGTAGTCATACCTCAATTTCAATCTGAAATACACATGTAACCCTCACTAAGCTTCTAAAATGGAAGGACCATACTTGAAACTACTGTTTTGGCAGAATACAATATTGTCCTATGTTATGCTAACTATGCCTTCATCACAGACCATTACACAACTGTTGACTTACATTGCCTGACTTGTACCAATGATCTCATACATGTTGTAAAACTGTGCCGAAGTAATCCTGTACGTATTTAAGTGACTCTGTGACATGGTTAAATTTGATAAGTTTTTACATTTTATCAGCTAGATTTGGCTAAAACATTATTCATGTTCATTGGACTACTGCAATTTATGCTCTACCACAAACCATCCCACAGTTCCTGAGGAGCAGCATGTAAAGTTCTTGTGGTGCAGAGGCAGCGTGACATGGCTGAAATCTCCCTAAAACATCTTGATGATAGAGTCCCTGGCAGCACCCACACCAATCCATCTCACTGGAAAAGGAAAAAAAGACATCAATCTATGAAATCCAAGAAAAATCTTGAATGCTATCATGCTATTCTTAGCCTATTTTCCTTTTCATCATACACAATCCATAGAATGACTAGAATCCACTATGACTAAGACTGAAAACCGACCTGGAACTCCTAGAAGCTCTTCGATCTTCCTGATATATTTCTGTGCGTTCTCGGGCAGGTCCTTGAAGCTGCGCACATTCTCTGTGTTTGTCTTCCACCCCGGCATGGTGCAGTACTCCACCTCAACTTGCTTCAGCACCTCTTGGTTGGCTGTGGGGGATCAGGAAAGTAGGAAACCTCAAAAACCAATTTAAAGGTGGTCATGGTGTCCTATCATTCCTATGTTCCTACCTCCCATTCAATACAAATATCCCAGCCCTTCCTCATTCTGAAGCTGACATTGCATAGCAATCTGCACTAGCATGAGTTTACCTTTCACTCTATTAGAAGATATTAAACAGGCTCAATCAACGCTGCTAATTTTTAAGTGTTCTTACCTGGGAAGTTGGGAAGTGTCTTGCCATCCAGTTTGTAGGCTACACCAATCTTGATTTCATCAAAGACATCCAGAATGTCCAGCTTGGTGAGTGCAATGCTGTAGGCACAACATCCAACATCTGTTCATACTGTCTTATCAATCTGGCTCTCCTTTACAATCATGTATATTACTGGGAGTATGAAATATGGAGGCTCATGAACTTTGCCTTTTGTCCATGATAAAACTAAACATGGTTATTATTGAAATTATCAGGAGCGTGTCAAGTACAAAGTCAGAATCAGACATGACAGGTATCATATTTAAGTCTACCTCCCTTTGGTTTGTCCCACAACATAAAACATGCAGTTAAGTATGTAGTTAACAGTGTTGACAATATATCGTACTCACGCCGTGAAGCCGTTGACCATGTCGGCATACTTCAACAACACCAGGTCCAGCCAGCCACACCTTCTTTTTCTCTTGGTAGTCACACCAAACTCATGGCCTCGTTCTTGTAGCAGCTCTCCTAGCTCCTGTGAACACAATGACAAAGCTCATTTACATTGTTATTCAAGGCTTTGCCCCTTTATGAGAGTCTTTGCAGTATGCCAATGATTACAAAGTTTGGACTGCCTGTACAGGACAAAACAAACAAGGTCAGAAGCTTCAAAAAACAGAGACAAGCTGTAGCAAATGCCCTTACATTGTTCAGCTCTGTTGGGAAGGCTCCATCTCCAACCCTGGTGGTATAAGCCTTGGCCACACCATACACTTCTCCAATACACCTGGGTGGGATGCCCAGCCCTGTCAGCACTCCACCCACCGTGCAGTTGGAAGATGTCACATAAGGATAGGTTCCTACAGGACAAGCACCATCAACCATTGTGAAAAGCTTTTTCAAAATTAGAAAAATCCTGGCAACCTTCCAGGTCTAGTGTTTATAAGATTCAGTAACATGATGGGAATTCAGATATGAAAATGGATTCTTCTGAGCGATCATGTAAAAAAATTGCTTGTACCAAAGTCAATATCCAGCATGGTCGCATTGGCTCCTTCCACAAGAAGTTTCTTTTGTGGGCCCTCTAGCTGTGTGTTCAGGAAGTGCACCACATCCTTCACCATGGGCCTAACCCGTTCTTTCAGCTCCTGCAGGTGTCCAAAAGAAATGCATGTCATACTTGCAAGATACTTATATTCTAGGTCTGATCCATCAACAAACATCACAGCATTAAAAGCACATTGCTTGAGTCAATCATTGATTACCCCCATTCTTTAGCTTGTATCACAGGAATGAATGACAGACTATTCCTTCACCTCATAACGCTTCAGCTCCACTTCCACGTCCACTTTAAGATTGGGAAACATGCGCTCATACTGCGTCACAAGCATCTTGAACCTGTGAACAGGAAGACAACAGTCAACTAAGATTTTCTTACCATAGTTAACTAAACAAGTTCTTCTAATCTGAGCTTTGAGAAGGAAAGCATTTTCTATGTCCTTCATGTGAAAGGCTAGTCTCCCTTACCTGTCAGAGAAGACCTTGAAGTCAGCAAGCAAGTCACATACTCTGAGACCACTGCGTGCTGCCTGTGGTCAAGGGGAATACAGTGGTCAGGATAGGAGACATTTGTTCATCCTGCTATTAAAAGTCATACTTTAAAAGGGCAACGTAAATCATTGTATCTTTTATCTCAGACTCTGTATCAACAAATTGTCACCAAACATTCCTACCTTGGAAGAGTATGTTGGACCAATGCCTTTCTTGGTAGTCCCAAGGCTTGAAGAATCAAACAAGAGTAATTAGTGACAGAATAACAACTGGTTCAACACAGACATTCAAATGGACTGCTGTCTTTGAACTACTCATTGACAAAAAACTCCCTGGTTAGTGATTGAATCTATCTGGTTAGTGAGTCTTTTAGATTAATTAGAATCATGAAATAGGCAGAAATTTCAGAAATTTACCTTTTCCCTCCTTTCTCCAGCTCCTGAAGTCCATCCACAGCTTGGTGGAAGTCAAAAACTGGAAACATACATTGTTATATGTTAGAAGTCATGTGTTGATGAACAATGGACAGGACTTAAAAACTGTGAAGTTAATACTTTACATGCTACCATCGGTACATGATGGGGAATAAACCTATCAATGTTTCAAGTAGTATCTACTACTTTTCATCAGTGACTAACAGGAAATCCAAAAACTATGAATTGATATGTAAATGACGTGAAGAATAGCTGTATTATTTTTATAGCAGAAAAAATATACGATATAGCCTGTATATATTTGACTTCATCAAGACTTAGTACCATATTTGTTCTTTATTAAGTACCACAAGCATAATACATGTATCCTTATGAAATAAACTGAGACAATGTCCTACCAAGGTGAGCCCTGTCAGAGATGATGAGACGGTCCTGCCAGTCTATCAGGCCTGGTGAGACAACAAGTCAGTAGCTGTCTTAATACATCACTGTATGTCGATCTTACCCCGCACATACATACATACACACCTACATACATGTATACAATCAATCAATCAATCCACTTTATTGCACAACTATTGTAATGGATATAATTAATGACTGTACGTCAAATTGGTAAACAGTACAGGTCTAATATCTACACTAGTCTGCACATTGAACAGGAACTACATCTTAATGTTAGAGTATGATAATCAATAAGAATTCACAGGAGATGTTGCATACATTACAATTAAGGTTTGTGTTTGTTGATATCAAGACAAGTCCAGTACAGTGTAGCATATTAGCATGTTTAATGATTGTGTGAAATTAGATATGTCAAAATATTGTGGGATCAAATATAGAAAGGGTTATCAGATTTCATCCAGAGTATTGTCCATGCCTAAGCTCAAACATCATCAACCCTCAGAAATATAGGGCAGCTGCAGCTGACCATCAGTTATGGCATATCAAGCTGACAACATACAAGCTGTGTGACGAGTTCACCAAACAGTTCAGTGACTGACTAGGAATTTATACATGTACTGTTTGACCTTTCTGAAAAGGACATGGAAGTCTTATTATTGGAACATGTTATGTTCTTCTGCTTGTCAACTATTTAAGTTCAGAATGTGCTGTGTAGCAATATGACAAAGAGCTTGGAATAGTTTAAACATTGCACAAAATGTGCACAGTTCCTATCCCTGTATAAACACTTGGTGCCTCACCTTTGGCTTCATTTTTCCCAGCCTCTTCAAACAGTCCTGGAAGATGAATTACCACCCCATTCCCTAATGCAAATGAAATAATATCAACATACATGTATGAGGGGCTCAAATGCTTGTAAAAAATGAGACAGAGGTCTAGTCTACATGCAGACATCTACAATTGTTAATGCCCTTGATAAAAAGGCATAAACACTTATTAATAGTACCATACCGTAAGTGTACATGACTCAGAATATTTTACTTCTGGTACAATATACATGTCGCTTTACTAAGGCTCAATGTATGTACATGTATATCCTTTAAACCCATACAGCATTTAGATTTGTCACTCAGACATAACAACGCCAATATTTTATTATGGAAATTTTTTTTGAACCAATGTGGTAAAGTGGGTATGAAGAAAGCACAAAATTAGGTGAATGAAAAAAAATAAAATTTCTTCTGCATTGAGATTTCAAATACTGTACATATAAAATCAGAGCATTGCAATAGTATGATTTGATTTTGAAAGGCTGAATGGCCAAACCCCCTTGGATATGTGGCACATTTTGATTGGTTTCCACACGGAAATTGAAACCTTCATTGACGTCAGGGGGATTTCAAATATAGCTGTGTAGGAATGGCTGACACGAGTTATAGGATTTGTAGCTGACATACGGGGTCATGTCTGACATACAGGGTCATGTGCAATAAAACATCCTGGTTTAACAATGACCCCAATCCTAACTATGAACAGAGTTCATTTCTGTAGTATGTCTGTATTACATTCAGCACTGAGTATGCAATTTGCAATTAGAGCACATATGTACATTCAAATCTATAACATACTGAAGTGCAAAATGCAGTCATACAATGAAACTAGTGCTGTTTAATTTTGATACTACCTGGTAATGAAGACAAGTATCTTTTGCACACTTGCCATATGCATTAAGGACTCACTGAAAGAAATTCTCAAATACCAAAGCATCTCCTGGGTATATGTACAGTATACAGTTTCCCTCGACTCATTTATCGGCATAGAATACAGGAACATAGCTGCACATTCGTAAAAAAAAAATAGCTGCATTTTTTCTGTTTTTACTCACCAATAACTGAAATGGCTTTGTTGTTGATGATCCCACTGGGTAGTAGGTGGAAGTCATACTCAGTTCCCTCCACAACCACAGTGTGGCCAGCATTGTTACCTCCCTGAAACACAAGACCAATTCAAGCATCCTAAGGGGTGTGTAGAATAGAAACTTAGGGTGAAGAAGAAATAATGTGCTTTGCTAATACACTGAGCCATGTCAGGGGTCTCCCCAGAATTTTTTAGGGGAGAGGTGCTCCTTCATCGGTTGATGAAAAATCCGCAAATCAGGAAGTACTAAGAGAAAATCCTAATTTGAACATTTGGGAGAGGTGCTATGATCTTAGCGAGATGGGAGCACCCTTGCTTCATTGCTTGGGGAGAGCCCTGCATGTCCTTCTGTAGATTCTCAGACAACTCAGCACATGGGACAAGCCAGCCCCTGGGAATTTGGGACAAGTCTGTACCAGGCCTATTACAAGTGGACACCATACTCAACTCATAATTTGTGTATTTTGTGATGATCTTTATTGGCGGCATACCGGTAATACGTAAAGATGGTTTGAAAAATAAAACCTTGTCAGTAATGTGACCCTACAAAAGAAATGTAAAATTTATACTCTGGTATGCATGTACTTCTCTATGTTGTCTGTCTTGTTCAGTAGTTGCAAAGTTGTCTTGATCATCTTCTTGTTCAGGGATCATTGGTGCATATACTGATACTGAGCATTTTTAGTAAAGTCATATCTTCAAGTACATGTACATGTATTTGACTAGTATATAGTGCTATGTTATTCCGTGAGCAAGTTGATTATGACACTCCCTCAATAAAGTAACGGTGCTTAGTTACTACCCAGGAAAAACTGTTCAAGCATTAAGTTGTCTTTGAGTTTGATAATGTTTTAAAAGCCATCTTTATAAAGTCAAGGCAAACACTAAAAACAAGATGAAGTACTTGTAATAAAAATCATATGGATAATTTCGTTTCCCTCCAAGATCAGAGGAATTATATCTTGGATTACATTAGGCTTGTTTTGGAAACATTGTGGGACCCAAATATAGCCAAACAGATGATCAAATATCGAGTTAGTCAAACACGCAGTGATGATGTACACTAGGACATGACATTATGCGTGGCTTTCATAACACATCAAGGGTGGGAGGGGGGCAACTACCATAAGGTTACCAACGTATCATACATAGTTTCTACAATTTACGATAAGCACGTTTCGCAGTTTTCGTGCAAACGCCACATGACAGGCTGAGAGACTGAAAAACACGAATATAGTGCTGAAGAGATTTTAATCAAAAGTTGATCGACGTGTTACACAGTCTGTGACCCTCCACTAGTGCCACTCGACCCTCTGCCCGGCTGGCACTATGCCATCACACAGAAAATATGTTCCGGGACAGGCCACGCCACGTGATGTGTAAGTTTGGTCTCAATTTAGAGAATGAAAATTGTACTTCACAAATGTAACGACCGACAGATGATAAGTTCTAGCCTGGTAAATTCCCTGACCCCTCTCCTTCCCGCCTTACCGGCGCCTTACCTGACATCTGCAGACTACATCGGCGTCTGTCCCGAGCATATCCACGACCTTCCCTTTGCCTTCGTCCCCCCACTGTGCACCCAGGACCACGGTGACTTTGTTGCCATGATACCGTAACCGTTTTTCGAGCGGACCGTCCTCGGCAGGGTCAGAATGATCGCCATTTGCCGTACGAGGCGGCGCGAGGTTGCCGCGACTTTCCGCCATCTTCTCTCCTCCTCGTTTTCGCGGGTTTCGAATTCCGGCCGGGGCGCGCACGCGCTGTGTGCAACACCCAGCATGCATCGCGATGACAAAAACTTTCCCGCAACTTTTCAAATCTGCTTCTACTTGTCAGTAACAGTGGGTTGTCGGTATATACGCTCTCCTGGATGTATCTATAAAAACTCTGATGTTTTTCCCCCCAAATCGACGCTTTTCCTCGTTATCGCAAGGTTTTGGTGTCCTTTTGAAATATATCTGATAATCTTGTGCGGTCTGATTGTTCCAATAAATGGTGGGAAACTAGCTTCCTGACTCCCTTGTCTTCAAAAGCATGGTTATCAAAGCTTTTCAACCAGCGTTCCGAAGACTCCAGTTTGCAATTAATTCTGGGGATAACAGTTATTATTGACGTTGTATTATCATGTCTACCTCCATATCACATTCGTAGTTACACAAGGAATGTAAAAGGAACTCACGTTATGTTAACGTTATCTGTTAAGGTTTGTTGTGACCAGTGTGCCTATGCATATGTACCGATAATGATTATTATCATAAATAATTAATATAATAATATGTCTTCATCCATTCATTAGTATGTTACTTCTCATTTTACACCATTTCGTCGGTATATAGGCTATGATGTAATGCTGTGTTTTGAAAACCTTAAAAATTGAAAGTCATAACATATACAATTAAGACATGCAGTGATTGATGAAAACCTAACATGTCTTTTCTCTGTCATCTTCATGTTGCAATTTTATAAAAAAAAGCACATCAAAACATGTCCATGATTTGAACCTTCATTCAAATTTCAACTTACAAAATCATTTTATGCATCTTCGTTTTTATTCATGTGTTCTATAGCTGTCTCATTTCTTCACCATGTTCTTATAGAAATGGTACAAAACATTCCCTTCGTCAATTATGCAAGTGACCATAGGACACAGTTGCACTATTCTAGAGCTCTACGTAGCATATTTAACACTGATGGTAGGTCAAGTTTCTTGACAACTCGTACGTTTGGATGTTTTCCCCATTTGTCATTGTAATCACAAACCATCTGACCCCTGGTAATTTCCCCCTTTAACTCAACCCTGGCATAGACCTCTAATGTCTTGTATAAAACCTCAGGGAACAATGCTACTGCAACTGCATAGAGGTCGTAGGTGTGGAAATGTGCAGAAAACAATCTGTGCTGCTTCTGTTTTGCAATCATCTGTTGCTGTATTGCAGCATGGAATTGTCCACGTTTTGTTGGTATGGCACAAATATCCATCCAGGTGTCCTGCAAAGCAAGCAATAAATCCACCATCACATCTAAGGGTAAAACAAAAGCAAATGATATATGGAATTGTTACAAACTTATGCTTCAATCCAACTGATCCCACTAAATTATTCAATCAAATGCACAGGTGGTATAGAAGGCAAAGTATTGTCTGGTTCTACAGATTTGTGTTCCTTGTGTAAAGTCATTTTACCACACTACATGATTGAAGGGAAGTGCATTTTGATTGAGAAGTAATGGATGGTTTGGTTCGAAGGTCTTTTTACAAATATCCACATCAGTCAAATGAAGGTTACAGAAGGATTGACAAACCCATGATATGTCATGGTCCTGGACACAGGTTTCCCAAGGGACTACTGTGATAGGAAACAAGCTGCGATATCCCTCCAGAACAACATGGGCTGCTTCTGGGTCACACCAGAAGTTATACTCTGCTGAAGGGGTTACATTGCCAAGGCCTGCAATAGATGTAGGAAATCAAGATTATACAACAGTTAGAGACATCTGGGTGAATGTGCCACTTCCTGTAAAGCAATCTATACTGCTTTTAAATTTCAAGTGATCTGTAACATGTTACCTCAGAATACATGTAACGTAACATGTCATGCAGTGTTGCATGAGTAGAGCACTATGGCATAATTCAATTTTTGAGCAACATGTCATTTCACAGGTACAAACTGAAGGTTCAACAATAGACATTGTTACCATGAATGTTTCCCCCCATGAGTGTCAGCTTCCTTAGCCGTGCAGGAAAGCCTGGGTCCGTCCTAACAGCCAAAGCCAGGTTGGTGAGTGGGCCTGTTGCAACCAAGTTGATCTCATCTGTGAGGTGGGTGACACACAGGTGCACATGTAATTGTTGGAGGGTTAATGTAGCAAAAAATTGAGTCTTCTTCCCACATAGTAATTACATGTACTTACATAGTACATCGGTAACATTTTATCTTTAAATTACATAGTATATCGGTAACATTTTATCAACCAACCAACAGATAACTGTAAATACCTGGATACTCTTTGGATAACCTCAATAATGCACTGACAGCATGTTCAGACTGTACCAAGTCAGCTGAGGGAGGGTCAGGATCTGGTACATCCCCCATTCCATCCTGACCTAAGTAGTGACAAGCATCCACATGAGTCCCAAGAAGAGACACGGATGCTCCTGCAAAGACTGGCACCTGCAAAAAATGAACAGCTCTGTTTGTTGGTTTGCACTTTTTGGAATCAGTCAATTGACCTGTCCGATAACATTTTCACGTTACATTTTGCACTACTTTGTATATTAGCTGATGTGAGACTGTGAAAGTGTCAGTCGATGTTCAGAAATCTCCCCATTTACCTCCGGTCTGCCAAACACCTTAAGCACCCTCAGGACGTTCTGGCACACCTGGTTGACTTTGACGTTACCTGCAACACATGTGATTCCCAGCACCTGTACATGGGGGTGTGTTAGAGCCAGCATCATGGCCTGGGCGTCATCTACACCCCCGTCTACATCTAACACTACCAACTGTCTGCTGTTTTCTCCACTCGACATGTTTGTGCGTCTGTTTGAATTTACTGATTTTGAAAGGGTTGTGATGTTGCTGCCGACACTTCCGGGGTCGACGATAGTCATTTCCTGGTTCACAGTTCACGCGAGGTCCTGACAGGCGAGCACTCAAACCGCGCGTGCGCACATGTGTGGTGGTGTATGTCTGTGTGAATAGCTTTACTCTATAAGTGGTGGATAGACCGGCTTAATGATATTTGGTATTTTCTTAATCTTAATCTTAATAATACTGGTACAAAACCCTCGCGGGTATAGCCGACCAGGGGTAGGTCTTGGTGCACGGCTAAGAACGGCCGGTGGTGGAAGTGCTCATAACAAATAAAGTGAAAAAGTTCTGTACAAGGTGCAAAAAATAAAGAAAAAGTGATGGCCGTCTTAGCATGATGTCTATTTACTCATGTGTGGGGTGGCCCATATATCGGGCCAACCCCAGTTTGAAGTTCGTGAGTGATGTACATGTAGCTATTTCAGTAGGTAGTTGATTCCAATCAGATATAGTGCGTGGAATGTAACTGCTGCGGTATATATCTGTTTCTCAGTATACTGTTTGTAGCCGCAGTGGGTGCCCCCTGGTGCTGTTGGTATTCCTAGTGGTGAGGTTGTGTAGGGGTAAGGCGACTAGGTTGTGGAAGGCTTTATAGAACAGTATTAATCGTGAATGTTGCCTTCGGACTTGTAGTGTTGGCCAGCCCAGGTTGTGAACAAGTTGTGTGGCACTGGTGGTGTGTCTGTAGTCGTTGTGTACCCATCTAGCCTCTGAACTGCTTCAAGTTTGATCTGTAGTGAGTTTGTTTGTGAGTGTTGGAGTTTGAGTGGGTCCCAGACTGGAGCTGCATACTCCAGCCTGGGTCTAACTAGGGATGTATAGGCCTTGCTTCTTACCTCTTTCGATGCCCCCCTAATGTTACGCAGGGAACCCAGTGTACTGTTAGCCTTTGAAGTAATATATGCGATGTGATGTGACCACTTGAGATCATGTGACAGAATTACCCCCAGGTACGGGTGCTGCTCCGTAGCCTCTAACGGTTCTGCAAACATTGAGTACATATAATTGGTTGACTTGCGAGATTTATGGATATGCAAGATGCAACATTTTTTCACATCAAAACTTAACTGCCAGATGTCAGACCATTCACATAGTTTGTTCAGGTCGTTTGGAGTGTATGCTGGCCATGCGGTGTGTCAATTGGGCGGTATATCAAACAATCATCCGCGAACAGACGCAGTTGGGAAGCTATGTTTGAATCAATGTCGTTAATATATCATAGGAACAGTAGGGGGCCTAATACGGTTCCTTGGGGGACCCCGGACTTCACCTTAATGGGTTTTGATACCTCACCATCTACTTGTACCTGTTGCTGTCTGTCGAGTAGCCAGTTCTTTATCCATCTCAAATGGGTGTTCAAATGACAAAATCTCTTGTTCTGAAGATGCTATGGAAAGGTAGATATTGCATTCGTAGTACTGTGGGAAGTGGTGTATCACTGTATGAGTTGGTCCTGTATGTATGCATTTTCTACCTCCATGATGTATGTTTATAAGAACTGCGTGGGATAGATTTTGCCAATGATTCATCGGTGAGCGAAGGTATGAGATCGCGTAACTCTTAGATTTACAAACAATACAAGCTAGGCCTTTACGAAAAAAAATCGATATTCGGAGATGACCTTAGCAAGAACTTCCCCCTTCACCCTCACTCAACCTGGTAGAATCAACTAGCTCAACTATGATATCGATGTTTAAAGAGCTAGCCCTTTCCGCCATCAGGAAGTGCCTGATAAAGTTGGCTGACACTTACCCAAAGTATACTGTTTGCTCAAAACTATTTTTAATACAACGCAACCAAACATCCGCCTTAATCTACTTAGTACAAGTAGGGTCGTCACGTCATCACAGTTGCGCCAGTCTGAATGTACAACGTGTGTAACAGGACCTTCACTATGTGGATGAAGATATTCCTCCTCGCTCTCCTTATCGGCAGGTATGATGTTTACAAAAGTTCGTCCACGATGATGAAACAAAAGGAAATGTGATTTTTAAACAGAAGTGATTAATTTTTTTTTTATTTCCCATGATAATTGGAAGATACTGTTTTGTCAAAGTTTCTGAAATTAATGCAAGTAGATCAAGAACTTGTGTTCCAAAGACAGAGCTTCGCTCACAGTCACGAAATCATTACCCGTCTCCAGTGCCCTTTCGCTGACCTGCCTGCCGTGCGGTATGCTGACCTGCGTGGAACCACAGGGCTGTCTGCAGGGCACCGTCTCTGACGTGTGCGGCTGTTGCCGGCGGTGTGCAAAGGTAATAGAGCTAGTATTCCCAGTGACCATTAAACTTAAACCGACACCGTATAGGGTTTTCTTATCCGTTTTTATTACCGTCAGTATAGTGCTTGTCCAATTGTTACTTCTACATGTCTACTACAGAAAACAACCGTTACGGCGATTTTAAACATTTTGCCGCATGAGATGTTAGTCAACAACATAATCCTATGGTTTATATTTGAGCTAGCCTGACACTGCCATCAGATTGAAATTTGTCAAATCTTTTTCTGCCTCAGGTTGAAGGAGAGACCTGTGGAGGGTTATGGAACATGGATGGTCGCTGTGCCGTTGGTTTGTTCTGTGGGGGGTGGGAAATCCACGACGGAGAGGAGCAAGTGGTACCGATAATGTTCGGAATGACTGGCGTCTGCTTTCCTGTAGCGTAGTAAGTGAAAACTCACTATATTGTTCATATAGGCCTGTGGTAATTTTATCTTGCGAAAGGAGTACTAGAGCAACGCTTTCAGAAAGTTTGGTTCTGAAGGTAAGGATACGAGTAAAGTAGTACCACGCCTAGCCTCCTTCGCAGTCTTGTTGGGCGTAATATGTAATATGCGGCCACGAGGGACGATTTGCTGCCGAGGGAGTTTTTGCCACGAAGAGAAGGTTTCGCACTCCACCCTTCTCCGTGGCAAAAACGTCCTCGGCATCAAATCGTCCCTCGCGGCCGCATATTACTCGCGTCGCTCAAAGAAAAAATAACGCCGACGCCCAACAAGACTGTGAAGGAGGCTATACCACGCATCGGTCCTAGCTCCATTTCCCTAATAACACGGGTTAAGTTAACAAGGCATTTCGACACCACCTGTCAGTACTTTTACACATGGGTTCCGCCGCGTATATGTATTTATGTTCACTCATATGTTTCTTCATTCCGGAAACACCAGAAGGGCCATGCACTGCTATGCTTACAAGAGGCGTGCACCGTGATGAAAAAAAAAAACTGTTTTGATGGGAATAAATCATTTAATCATGGTTCTTGTCAACTCGATCCCTATTAGTTTCTAGTGGTGATCTGTACATGGAGAACTAAATACTACTCTCCAAGCAGAGGTAGGGTTTTGGGGATTTTTAGCGTGTTTTTAGGCTTTTTTATCAGGGTTTCTTTTATGCACTGAATTTTTTTCCATACAAAATTGTATGGTTGTATGAAAATAAAATTCAGTGCATAAAAGAAACCCAAATAAAAACGCCTAAAAACACGCTAAAAATCCCCCAAACCCTACCTCTGCTTGGAGAGTAACTAAATTCCACTAAGTGGTGGGTTGTCTTTTCTAAGCTATTTGCGGGGGTGGTTCCATGCTGCGTGTTGGTGAGAGAAATTGCACCTAGAACCGAGATAACATCAGCGCAAACAGTAGCAGCGGAAGTCTGAATGAAGGACAATGTGTCAATCGTACTTTGTATTTATATTAGATCTGAATATGTGTATGACAGTTCCCTTAATAAAATAAAAAAATGCAAAGGAAAAAACAAGAAAGAATACAGTTTAATGTTGTAAATGATGCTCAGTTTCCTCGGAACATTAAGCACCTGATTTCCTATTAACATTTTCACCTGTTTGAGGATGCAATAACGGCATGATCCTCAGTATTCGGGACCAGGTATTTTACGTCAAAGTCACCACACAGGTTAGTTGGAGGTGAATTGAAAAAGTCAGACCTTTAAATCCCCATGGGTACAAGGTCATGATGATGTGGTTGTAGATACCTTTTCCGATTCAAATTTAGCAGTAGTATTTATTTATTTATTTATTTATTGAAAATGCAACAGGACATTACACTGACTCTCAAGGCAGCAAAGCTAATGTTAGAGAGTCAACATATAAGGACAAAACACAAAGGGCACATAATTTCAATACAATATGAAACACAAGAACAGTCTTAACCTAAACTTAACCTGTATCAATCTGATTTATTAAGTACATTTATATACATAATAAAAATAACGCGTTTGGCGGTCAGAGGTCCAGAAATATATATATATATACAGTACTACCTCATAAGAGAAAATTGGTACATAAATAACAAGGCTAGGAGGAACAGCTGGAAGTGCCTAGAAACGGTTAGTTGAAGTGATGTAGGTGTGGAAGGCATGTGAGAGGCTTTTGTTTAGTGCAATGTCATAGTATAGTAGTATTTACATTGTACCTGGCATTTTCCAGGTCTAACCACTTGAGGGAAGCAAACATCATGTACAATGTAGAGGTAGCCACAGTTTAAAAAAAAATGTTGAGTGAGGGAAGACAATTGCATATGTTATTCTATGAATTCATGGGCTTTACACTTTACTGCTTACGTCGTGCATATTTACACAATGGTAACACAGGAAAGGTCAGAGAGACACGTCCTTCAGAACGGGGATACGTGTTGGTACAACTGATAATGGACCTCAGGCTGACGTAACACAACATGACACCAAGAATTGACGACTGCACTATTCACAAAGTACAGTTTACGTGAATAGATATAGACGAGTCGGGATTTCATGGACGAGATAGATAAAGTCGGCTTCTTTATAAAGTATATTCTGAATCTCTACGAACTATCACAACAATTCTGTCTGTAAAATTAACTCTACATATACATCCTTAAGCCATCTGCAAATGTATGTACTTAACCCTATCTAGACCGGGCTTTTTTGAGCAAGATTTGACCGGGGGGGGGCTCTTTCGGCCCTCCCCCTCAGAACTCGCTAACAGTATGTCGTATGGCTACCAAATTTTCAGAGGATGGTGTACTAGTTAAAATTTATCATATATTTAATTTTTTGTCATTATGACGTAATATGACGTCATTATGACGTCATTAATGTGATTTTATTGGCCAAAACCGTCTAGATAGGCTATTCCCTGAAAACTAAACGGTATACAACATAACTTTACCAAAAGTGTTTATGACAGAACATTAGAGTGTTCTAAGTCTTATGTTGCCCATAGCAACACCGGTGACGTCATAAAATGACGTCATACATATTTAAGATATCCGCCATCTTGGATCATCAATCTTGAATTTTCAAAAATAGTTTTTTTTCGTGATAAAGCCTAAAATACATTGTAAACGTACCAAAGACCTTCATTTAAACCTTTTTTGGAAAAAGAAATGGAAGTATTGATGAAATTTTAAGGAAAATAACTTGTATATACCTGTTCTAATGATATGGTCCGCCATCTTGGATTTTGGCCAATGACGTCATCAAATTAGCATAAATTATGCATATTTAATTATAAAATTTACATAAATTCATATGGGATGTTATTAATATTAGAAACCATGAGTAACTTGACATAAAACCCATAAAATTCTATTGTTGAAACAAAAATTACTAAATTTAGCAAAAAATGCCTGTCAGAAACCCGTTGCCATGGCAACACAAAAAATCACTATCTTATTCCAATGATAAAAAATTGTTGCCAACAATATTTTAGGAAAAGTCAACAAGTTTAGTCGTTCTAGCCTTAGCCATTCAGACGCTATGTGACATCAAAGTTGGCGCGGGCACTTTTAGCCCCCCCCCGGTCTAGATAGGGTTAATTCTCTCGAATTTGAAGAGTTAATGTGCGTTCATCAAATACAACCTTAAAATATAGATACGCACCTTCTAGCACGAACAAGGAGATAGCTCAAACATTGGGAGCAACAAAACACTATGTCACAAGTTGGTCAAAATCTGAATCTTCAGTCCCTGTAGAAGGAATAGTCCGTATCGTAACAGGTGTCACTGTAGAGGGAGTCACTGAACATGCTGCTGGAGAGGTCACTGCTGCAGCTCGCCGTCCTACAGATCCCCTGACGGGCAGGGTCATGGCTTCTGCCGCTGGAGACACTGAGCCGAGTCATGTCATCCTCGTCACCCCAGAAGGACGGTCCGTCTCCCGGTCTCGGGGATCCGCACAGCTCCTGATGTAGGACGCCGTTAATGCTGATCTCCGGGATGGTTCTCCCGTCCTCGGAAGTGACGTTCTCTGTCGGATTGTTCTGATGTATTCCACTGCCCATGCCCCCTTCCTGGTCTGCATTCATGTCGTCATTATCTACTGCCAGTAAACTTTGCGTACTGAAACAGCTGCGCAGATGGTCCAGCCGTAACGCTGCTGGCCCGGTTCGCCGTGTTGAACGAAGGGGCTGACATCCCCGCGGGTACTCAGGAGAGAGCAATGTGTTGAGGTCACTACTGGTCAGGGTTGTGACAGACGACCGACGACGCTTTTTCCTGCTGCCCTGTACATGTAGCATCCACTCCAGCTCACCTATCCGCTTGGTGGTGGCCTGTAGCTGCTCGTTACGTTGGTTCAGCATTTCCGTACGTTTTGTCATCTGCAAACGGAATTCGAATAAAGGGCCACTGTACACACTTCGGAGTTCCCCAGATAAGCAGACCAGGTAGTCATTTATTTCTAGTCCTATTTCTCCCGTGCAGGTACTATATGTGATACGAGGGGTGATCAAAAAGTTCTCGGCCTCACCTAGAAAACGTCATGGCATTAAAATTTTTCTTACACTATTTTTTAATATAGTCCTCTCTAACTGCAATGCAATTAGTCCAGTGATGTTCCATCTTTATTTTCCCATTGTGGAAGAAGGTTGCATTTGGACCCCCCAGATTGGCCTATACCGCATAGATGACGTCATCTTTACCATTAAAACGTTGACTGCGTAAGTGGAAATTGAGTTTAGGAAACAGGTAGAAGTCCAAGGGTGCTAGGTCAGGTGTTTTGGAAGGGTGGGGTTAGACTGCAAACCCAAATTCGTTTGCTGCTGCCACTGACCCCTGTGCTGTGTGGACAGGTGCGTTGTTGGCAGGCCACCTCGGAGCTTTCCTCTCCTTTTCTCTTTGATCGTTATCCTCAACTGTCGTAATTCTGTTGAATAGTACTCCCCATTGATGCTTTAACCCCTTCGCAGGTAGTCAATCATGATTACTTCCTTACTGTCCCAGAAAACAGAGGCAAAAACCCTGTCAACGGACGAAACTCGCTAAAACTTCTTGGGGGGCCGGGGAAAATTCTTCCTCAATTGTTTGCTCTGCTGTTTTTATTCGGGGTGAAAGTGGTGAACCCAGCTCATCTTGGGTTACAAATGTTTTGAGGAAATTGCATGCATTGGACTGAATTCGTTCCTTGAAATGTCCCGCCTGTTTAACTTCTGATGTTCAGAAAACATTCGAGGCACCCACCATGCAGACAGTTTGTTCATCCCCAGGATGTTCGGCAAAATATTGTGAACTGGGTCATAACACAGGCCAAAGAACCTGCTACATGTTGGACAGTCTCACATCTGTCATTTACTACCATGTGATGGGTGGCCTCAACTGGATTGTCCATGGTGCTGATTTGTGGCATCCTGACCTATGTTCATCTTTTGTGCTCTCCTTGTCGCGCTTATAGCTAGCAACCCACTTCTTTATATTTCAATAAGAAGGGTAGTCATCAACAAGTGTCTTGACCATGTCTTCATGGATTTCCTTAGGAGACATCCCTTTTTATCGATACACTTGATCACAGCACACGCTTCTGTTGCGGCCATGTTGTGATTTTGCCCTCACCCACCTCATTTTCACGGGGCGTCACGTGCTAATTAATGAATATAAAAATTTGAATTTTTGTGTGCAGTGATGTAAGACGTCATAGTATACAGCTATATTAAAGAATAGGAGTTTGACCTTTATTTTCTAGGTGAGGCCGAGAACTTTTTGATCACCCCTCGTATCTCATGTCTAGACTCTTGTCACACATTCAATGGTTCCCAAAAGTAAAGATCATTATGAAAAACTATCATATGTCGTCTGTAAGAATGGAAACAAAAATCAGAAATCAACGACGGTTCTTAGCCGACATGTTCTATCTCACGGTGTGCCCGCTGTATACTATACGCACCTTCTCGGATAACCGTTCCATCCTCTTCCTTGTAACCTGCAAATACAATATCGTCAATCAGTCATGTTCCTATAGCACCGATTCATGTAAGAAAGATAAGCATCTGGACATAAGCAAGCTTGGACTAGGGACTTCTTCATGATTTTGAAAATCGAGCGTGCCTCTAATAATGTTACCTGACTGACCAACGTCTTGAGCTGGAGTATGATCTCTGAGATGATTTCGTCATCTAAAGTCAAACATCGACAATGCAGCTTCTGTATCTGTATCTGTATAGCCGGTATAACCGCCTTTCGGCGTAACACACCAGCTTCGCAGGCACGCGGCGCGGCGGCAGCTGGCTATATTACACCGATCGACTTGTTCCACCTAACCCTTGAACTTCTAGCTCTAGACATTGTTTAAAGCTATCTATTGACAGTGTCCCTACTGTACTTGGTGACAGTGAGTTCCACTCTGCGATAGTTCTAGGAAAGAATGAATTCTTGAACACCTCAATCCTTGGTTGATAACTCTGGTACTTGAATGCGTGGCTATTTCTTGTTCTCTTCTGGGCTGGTATTAGGTACTTAGTAGTTGGGACATCCACCAGTTTATTAGTCATTTTGTACATCATGCATAGTCGAGACATCTTTCTTCTGTCTTCAAGTGAGGTCCACTGTAGGTTTCTTTTCATTTCCGTGACACTAGCACCTCTTACATAGTTGTTCATACAGAATCTTGCAGCTTGATTCTGTACCCTTTCCAATTTGTCTTTGTCTTTCTTTGTATATGGATCCCATACTGTCGCAGCGTATTCTAGGTTCGGTCTTACAAGTGACGTGTATGCAAGTGATTTTACTCTAGTTGGACATGCCCACAGATCACGTTTAATCACTCCCAATGTCTGTTTCGCCTTAGTTGTGATATTATTAACATGTGCACCCCCACTTCAGTCCGCTTGTCAGCATGACGCCCAGATACGGATGGATTTTTGTGGTGGCTAAAGCCTGACCACAAAACTGGTAGCTAGTTGCATGTGGTGTTCGTTTGTTTGTTATGTGCATAATGTAGCATTTTTCGGGATTAAACTGCATGAGCCATTTGCTTTGCCATTCTTCCAGGGTGTTCAGGTCTTTTTGGAGAAGTTGTGAGTCGGTCTGTGTAGAAAGCTCTACATACAATAGACAGTCATCGGCAAATAACCTCACATTTGAGTCAAGCTGATCTGGTAGGTCATTTATATACAAGAGAAAGAGCAATGGCCCCAGGACGGTTCCTTGAGGGACCCCAGACGCTACTTTAACTGGAGCCGACGCCTTCCCTTCAACCACTACTGTTTGCTCCCTGTTGGTCAGGAAAGCCTTTAACCAATTCAGCGTAGGGCCTTGGATTCCATAATACTCCAGTTTTGAGATGAGCCTGCCATGGGGGACTTTATCAAAGGCTTTAGTGAAATCAAGTATTGCTAAATCTACCTGCCGTTTACTGTTTAGTGCGCCAGCTATGTCATGGACTGTTAGTATAAGCTGTGTTTCTGTGGATCGTTTGGCTCTGAATCCATGCTGGTAATCCGTTAATATACTGTAACTTTCTAGGTGCTTCATGATTTGGCTATGGATGATATTTTCAAGTAGTTTGTAGGATATGCAGGTCAGTGAAACAGGTCTGTAGTTGCTGGGGACCGCTCTATCTCCTTTTTTAAAGATGGCGCATATATTTGCATCCCTCCAATCTTTAGGGATTTCTGCAGTGTTTAGCGAGTGTTGGAAAATATTGGTTAGAACAGGCGCGATTTCACTAGCTGTCAACTTGAGGAACCACGGTGGTATTTGGTCTGGTCCGGATGCTTTAGAGGGATTGAGACCTTGAAGCATTTTTTCTACACCATCAGTAGAAACTACTATATGTTCCATTGGAGGAGTACAGGGCTGACCTAGAGATGGCATATCTGTGGTGTCTTCCTCTGTGAAAACACTTTTGAACTGTGAACTGAGTACTTCTGCTTTTTTCCCAATGTCACTGATGATGGTATTTCCCACCTTTAGGGGTGCTACCCCGACAAGGTCTTTCCTCAGTCCTTTTATGTACGACCAGAATGTTTTGGGTTTGTCAACTATAGCTTCTCCCAATATGTCTGCCACGTATTTAGAGTGTGCTTGTCTTATGCTTTTCTGAACTCCCTTCTTAACTCTCTTATATTTGTTCCAGTCTTCCTCTTGGCCTGTTTTCTTAGCTTTGTTATAGAGCCGCTGCTTCTTACGACAGTGCCTCCTTAGGTTTCTGTTGAACCAAGGCAAGTTGTATCTGCTTGATGTTATCTTACTTGGGATGTGCTTGTTCATCGTGTCTTTCATTTTGTCTTTGAAGTCTGACCACTTCTGTGTAACTGACATATCCTGAGTTCTTTTGTGAAAGTTAGTTGCATAATCCGTTAGGTCTTCCTTAATGGCTGGTTCGTCGGCTTTTGTGCGGATGTACACTTTTCTCTTAGGTTTCCTGTTTTGTTTCAGTGCCAGGTTAACGTCCACTAGAACCATGTCGTGGTCACTTATCCCCGGGACTACTGTGGTCTTCTCAATTATGTTGGGGTTATTAACTAAGACCAGGTCCAAGAGATTACCATTTCTAGTTGGTTCCTGGACTGTTTGAAATAACCCGTGGTTATCCATTTGGTTTAGTAGTTTCTCTGCTTGGCCTGTGTAGGCCCGACTGTTGTCAGCTACAGTAGTATCCCATTTGATGCCAGGGGTGTTGAAATCGCCAAGAATGATCACATTGTCAGAGTTATTTTTGCTCCCATTTTACCTATAGACCTGTCAAGTTCATCCAGACTATTGCCCTGGTCTGATGGGGGTCTGTAGTATGTACCTATTATCAGTGGTTTCCTTCCTGCAAGTTGAGTTTGTGTCCACAGAACCTCGCAGTCTGTGTCAAGGTCTGGCCTATGGGTAACAATTAGATCATCTCTGTTGGCCTGAAATAAAACAAACTTGGTAAAACAAACGACAATGACGTGATATTCACTCTACCAGTGCTCTCTACTCAATGCAAATGTGGTAACAGTCATTACTAGCAAATATTTATCTGATCATGGGTGAGATTAGAATTTATCAGCAAACAAAGATATCATTCCACGAGATAAGAAAAATCTATAAATGAGTAAATAAATAAGAAGAATCTTGCTTTTGTTGGCGCCACTGGACGATCTTGTTGGAAGAGATGTCGTCCGACGTGGCGAGGACTTAGACCTCAGCCCGCTGCTGTCAGACTGAGAGCTGGCGTCCGACTTTCGTCTCTGCATTCTGTAATGGACGGATAGGAGTGTACTGGGACAACTGAACATAACTGTATTGTCAAACACACCAGAAACTAACAATGCATGTGGCAATTGCAAGGCAATAAAGTAGAATTGAACATTCTTATCAACAATTGTTATCACTATGTGGAAATTCTTACCTAGATTCTTTGATACCTTCCATTCGATCCCGTTCTTGGTCCTCTAACACTTTTCTGGCTTCTGGATACTCCACCAGAGTCTGCACAAGAGAAGGCAAACTTAAGTACATGTATAAAATTGTACTTAATTGGTGTGTGTAGAGTGCATGATTTTCCTAATTAAGAATATTTTCCCTCATCATTTTTTTCCGATATATATAAAAATCTAACTTTTTAAAATTCTTGTCATTGTTGTATTGCTATACAGTAGTCGGTTAAGAATCTTGAGCAGCATCTTATTTACAATTTTATGATATATAAACCATTGCCTTTTTCAAGTTATCATCGTTTGTGTCGTAGCTATAAAACAGCCATGGAACAACTTACATGGATAAGATCTTTCTTTGACAGACAAAGGAGTTCTGAGTAGCCGACAGACACGACGTCTGCGCTGCAGCGGTTACACCCATCGTCAAGCTTCAGCAGGCTGATCTCTCCAAAATAGTTGCCCTCCTTCAGTGTAGCAACCTCTAGCGGTCGGTCCGTGTCAGAGTTTTGGATGTAAACCTGCGTTATGATATACCTTTGGGTTAAAGATAGAATTCTTCTTTGTATATGGATATTGTGGAGTAAATTTACAGGCATATAGGAACTAGATCACTTGCATTCGTAACAGACAAATGACCAGGACGTCCACTGTAACGACATTGGTGCTTACCTTGAGTTTGCCAAGACTGATGATGTACATGTCCCTACCGATCTCCCCACTTTTAATACACACGTAGTCCCCTGGCGTGTAGACCTGGGATCGCAGCTTCAGAGCCAGATCGCACAGCAAGCCATTCTCACAATCCTCAAATATCTTTACCTATCAAGGGTGAAACGAACGATGATAATAAACGATCTTTGAATAAACAAAGAATTGCCGGACATCGTGGCTGCAAGTATGGCATAGATATATAGCTCTCTGACTTGGAAAGGACAAAAGATCATGCCAGTATTGCTAAAAGCTATCGTCTAGACCGTGCTATTCTCTGTGTCTGTGACACTCTTTGTCGAGCCTCAACAGTACGTGATCAGACTCAAAGAATCGTTGTAATATCAATGTTATAGTGGTGCCTGTCATCTTACGCCTATGTCATTCTCTGTGAACATTTGTTTCCAAAAGAAAATTTGACCTGGAAAAGATGACAACTGACCTTCCACAGGGTGTCTAAGTGGACATGCACGGCGATCTCTTTGCGCAGGCGCCTTGGCAACATCTCCAAGAACGTGGAATCTTCCATCGCCTGTGTCCTAGTGATAAAATTCAGACAGGTCATTATAAGGAGGTTCACAAATAAGAAGGCGCATGCCCAGTACCAAAGGTGAAATGTTACCAAAGCCGTCATGACAATACTTTATACACAGTCCCAATGTCTTATTTGTGAACCTCGTTATTAGATGTTTCTTCACAAACTGCCGTTTCAACCGCCGTTTCCTCAGCTGCACATATGCTCAAATAGAGACATGGATTCTGACCTGTTCCAGGAGTAGTCCGCCCATTTCTTCACACGTTTCTGTAGAACATCCGGAACACTGTGGTGGTTCAGGTACATCTTCACCCTGTCAATCCTGCAAAGTGGGAAGCAAAAGGTTATATCTGTCCTATCATGCAAAACAGGCATTCTCTAAATCTTCTATCAGAACTTTATTCACACCCCTTTGCTGGTTGGTTACGCGGCCGGTGTTCTCCGGACTCCCGGCTCAGACATACTAGTAACGCGGCCAAGCCGTGCGACACTATCTTGATCAACAGTAACGAATTTCCCACCGGAAAATCTGTTAGGAGATTATTTAGCTCTACCATGTCATTTGGTGGGAAATATTACTAGTACCATATTCGGTAATCTGTTCCTCGCCTACCTGGCCTGAAACTCCGTCCTTGCGTGACGTAGGTTACTGATGACGTCACCCACGTTCCCCACCACAGTGACGAAGAGAAACACATTTCCTTATTCAAATTTCAACTTACTTACAAAATCATTTTATGCATCTTCATATTTAGTACCTTCGCCAAGAAGGTTATGTTTTCGTTGGCGTTCGTGTGTCTGTGTGTGTGTGTGTGTGTGTGTGTGTGTGTGTGTGTGAGCACGATAACTCAAGAAGGCTAAGCTGGATTGTCTTGATACTTTGTAGGTGGGTAGGTCTTAATGAGACGTGGAACTGATTAGATTTTCAGCCCCCTAACGGCTTGTTATGGTACTGCAGCTGAACTTCCGGTTTTGATATCTCGTGATCTAGACATGGTAGGGTGACGAAATTTGGATGGCAGCTGGCTCTTGTGCTGGGGAACAAGTGACGTGAGTTTGGACCCCCTAGCGAATGGCTCTGGAATTGCAGGGGCATTAGTTGAAAAATGTTTAAAGGCGGAAAACTCAAGAACCGATTAATGGATCGTCGTGATTTTTGGCATGTAGGTAGCTGAAGTGATGCTTGACATAGTGTTATTACAATTATGCAAATATCAATGTAATTTACATAATTAATGAGGAAATTCTATATATCAGCTGCATTCCATGATAGGACTATTCAAGCTTGTGATATATGTAATGCAGAACGGCAGAAATACAGGCAGATATCGATTATGCAAATGAAGACTTAATTTGCATAATTAACGAGAAAATGTTATAATTACATAGTGGTAATGTCTGGAATTTCATACTTGGGATATTTGAAAGTCATGTGAAGGTGAACTTTATTAAACATAATTTATTCAAATAAGGACCTCATTTGCATAATTTATGAGGACATGCTATAATGCATGCATTGATAAGACTGTCTTCTGGTGTAGAATATGATCAACAGATATAATTGATGCAATATAGGATCCTATTCGCACAATAAGGGGGATTCATCTATAATTTCTTAGTCATAAAGGCTAACATCATTTGGCGAAGGTATGAGATCGTGGAACTCTAGTTATTCATATGTTCTACAGCTATCTCATTTGTTCACCATGCTCTTATAGAAATGGTACAAGATATTCCCTTGGTCAATTATGCATGTGACCATAGGACACAGTTGCACTATTCTAGAGCTCTACGTAGCATATTCAACACTGATGGCAGGTCAAGTTTCTTGACAACTCGTACATTTGGATGTTTTTTGCCCATTTGTCATTGCAATCACACACCATCTGACCCCTGGTAATTTCCCCCTTTAACTCAACCCTGGCGTAGACCTCTAGTGTCTTGTATAAAACCTCAGGGAACAGTGCTACTGCAACTGCATAGAGGTCGTAAGTGTGGGAATGTGCAGAAAACAATCTGTGGTGCTTCTGTTTTGCAATCATCTGTTGCTGTATTGCAGCATGGAATTGTCCACGTTTTGTTGGTATGGCACAAATATCCATCCAGGTGTCCTGCAAAGCAAGCAATAAATGCACCATCACATCTAAGGGCAAAACAAAAGCAACTATGGTATAAAAATGCTTCAAACTTATTTGAAACAAACTTTATTCTTCAATCTTATTACAAACTTATGCTTCAATCCAACTGATCCCACTTATGCTTGTTACAAACTTATGCTTATGCCTCAAACTTATGCTTCAATCCAACTGATCCCACTAAATTAACAAACTTATTACAAACTTATGCTTCAATCCAACTGATCCCACTAAATCATTAACCCTACCTAGACCGGGGGGGGCTAAAAGTGCCCGCGGCAACTTTGATGTCACCTAGCGTCTGACCGGCTAGCCGTAGAGCGGCGAAACTTGGTGACTTTTCCTAAAATATTGTTGGCAACAATTCTTTATCATTGGAATAAAATAATAATTTTTTGTGTTGCCATGGCAACGGGTTTCTGACAGGCATTTTTTGCTAAATTTAGTATTTTTGGTTTCAACAATAGAATTTTATGGGTTTTATGTCAAGTTACTCATGGTTTCTAATATTAATAACATCCCATATAATTTTATGTAAATTTTATCATTAGATATGCATAATTTATGCTAATTTGATGACGTCATTGGCCAAAATCCAAGATGGCGGACCATATCATTAGAACAGGTATATATAGGTTATTTTCATTAAAATTTCATAAATACTTCCATTTCTTTTTCAAAAAAAGATTTAAATGAAGGTCTTTAGTATGTTTACAATGTACTTTAGGCTTTATCATGAAAAAGAACTATTTTTGAAAATTCAAGATTCATGATCCAAGATGGCGGATATCTTAAATATGCATGACGTCATTTTATGACGTCAGCGGTGTTGCTATGGGCAACATAAGACTTAGTACACCATAATATTCTGTCATAAACACTTTTGGTACAGTTATGTTGAATACCATTTAATTTTCAGGGAAAAACCTATTTAGACGGTTTTGGCCAATAAAATCACATTAATGACGTCATAATGACGTCATATTACGTCATAACGACATAAAAATTGTAGATATGATAAATTTCCACTAGTACACCATTCTCTAAAAATTTGGTGGTCATACGACATACCGTTCGCGAGTTCTTAGGGGGGGGTCAAAAGAGGCCCCCCCCCGGTCCCCCCATGTCAAAAAAAGCCCGGTCTAGGTAGGGTTAAATCTAATGCACAGGTGGTATAGGAGACAAAGTATTATGTCTAGTTCTACAAATTTGTGTTCCTTGTGTGAAGTCATTTTACCACACATGATTGAACGGAAGTGCATTTTGATTGAGAAGTTATGGATGGTGTGGTTGGAAGGTCTATTTACAAATATCCACATCAGTCAAAATGAAGGTTACAGAAGGATTGACAAACCCATGATATGTCATGGTCCTGGACACAAGTTTCCCAAGGGATTACTGTGATAGGAAACAAGCTGTCATATTCCTTTCAGAACAACATGGGCTGCTTCTGGGTCACACCAGAAGTTATACTCTGCTAAAGGAGTTACATTTCCAAGGCCTGCAATAGATGTAGGAAATCAAGATTATACAACAGTTAGAGACATCTGGGTGAATGTGCCACTTCCTGTAAGCAATCTATACTGCTTTTAAATTTCAAGTGATCTGTGACATGTTACCTCAGAATACATGAGTGAGCCTAATTGCAACCAAGTTGATCTCACCTGTGAGGTGAGTGACACACAGGTGCACATGTAATTGTTGGAGGGTTTATGTAGCACATATTGAGTCTTCTTCCCGCATAGTAATTACATGTACTTACATAGTACATCGGTAACATTTTATCTTTAAATTACATAGTGCCTCGGTAACATTTTATCTTTAACCCTAAACAGTACACCTGGGGTCCGCGCGGACCCCAGCACTATATATTCTGTAATATCTTTTTGTTTCTAAAGATTTTTTCTGAACTTTTAGGTAATTGTCACCCACAAAGTTGTCTCTCAATACAGTGCAGAACTCCGTTCTACCATTTGTAAAAAAATTATATCTGATTTTCTTTTGGGGTCCGCGCGGACCCCAGCCGGCTTTCGATCATAATGGATACACAGGCGTTCTTATACATTACCTTATTTCTGTTTTTATATGTTTTTATGCACTCATCGTATGTCTACTAAGTTTTCAGAGAATGGTGTAGTAATAGAATTAAATTTTAATAACTTTGGTGTAATTATGACGTCATATGACGTCAGAGCTAATAATATAGTCCGCCATATTGGATTTTGACCAATGACGTCATCAAATTAGCATATTCTATGCATATTAAATGATTTAACTTATATCTAATTATGTAGGATGTTATTAATGTTGAAAAAAAAGTGTAATTTAAAATAAAACTTTTTTTTTATGTTTAAACCAAAATTACTTCTATTTTCAAAAAAACTGCCTGCTAGAAACCCGTTGCCATGGCAACACAAAAAAAATCAACTTACTAGTATTAGACTAAGATGAACTTTTTTCCAGAGACATTTTAGGAAAGGTCTCCAAATTTGATACTTCTAGCGCAAGCCGTTTAGCCGCTATCTGAGATCAAAGTTGGGCGTCAAAAGCCCCTTCAGTCTGAAATGGGTTTAAAAATCGGGTATAACTTCTTGTCTTCTTTTCTTCACCAAAAAATAGAAAAAGTTCAAAATGTATGATTTTTGTATGTAATGTGGACACAGAGGTTCCCACATCAGTTTGCAAAACAATTAAGCTGGTAGCATGTTGATAATTTCTAAAAATTTGCAAAAAACTGTTCTGGGGTCCGCGCGGACCCCAGGTGTACAGATTAATCAGTCCGGGAAGGTGTACTGTTGAGGGTTAAAGTTCAACCAACCAACAGATAACTGTAAATACCTGGATATTCTCCGGATAACCTCAATAATGCACTGACAGCATGTTCAGTCTGTACCAAGTCAGCAGAGGGAGGGTCAGGATCTGGTACATCGCCCATACCATCCTGACCTAAGTAGTGACAAGTATCCACATGAGTCCCCAGAAGACTCACGGATGCTCCTGCACAGACTTGCACCTACAAAAATTAAAACGGCTCTGTTTGTTGGTTCTCCAGGGTTTTTTTCGGGGGGGGGGGGGCAGTAAGTCATAAATTGATCTGATATAGATTAAGTTCTCACGTGTATAGTTACATAGGCCGTGTCTATACGGAACCACCCAAGGCGCGATTCGGGTAACTCACATTCCTCACATCTGGTCCACGTGCCACACACACCTGTGAAACCGTGTCCGAACACAATACGCTTGAGCTACATTTATTGCTGTTTGATGATAACACGCAAGGCGGCGTGTTATTAATGTCAGAGGTCAACGACCTGCTTGCTGATGCCCCCTCCCAGCGTATCTCGGCCGAATGCCGACGTGGTCCCGCCAGAGGCGGTGAAGCTCGCCCTAGAACGGACACATTATTTGACCATTACTGCTCTTTAAGTTGCTGCCACGTAAAAGTTGGTATTGCATATAAAAAAAGAAATATCACTCCGTAATCCATGACCAGGCGAAGTCACCTTGAAATCACATTGCGTTCAGACGCAAATCGCGATGCGGGGAAACCGATTCGAAACCACTTCTAGAAGTGGCTTGGGATCGAGGCGCTTTCAATGTGATTTCGGAGCGTTCAGATGGAGCCACTTGAAACCGGCTTCGGGGTAAACCACATGTAAACCGCCTTGGGTGGTTCCGTATAGATACGCCCTATGGTGATACATTAGCTGATCAGTGAGAGTGCCATTCAGTAATAAGGCCACACCGACTTAATTTTATGGATGACATCCTCTGAAGATCCCAAAACTAGTGCGCGCAGGCGAATAAAAAAATTCCGGCCAAAAATAAAAGTGCTAATAAACCACAGGAATACAAGGCTGGTATTGTGAATTTGCGGCAGTACATAGCGACGTATACGACAAGCCGGCACATGCTGGATTTTTGCGGAATTTATGAATCGGCACGAGTTCTTGCTGTCGTTCGGTAGCCTGGGTGCTATCTGATCCAAGGTTACAACCGGCTCCGTATCGTCACTAACTACCATGGACTAACTACCATGGACTAACTACCATGTCTAGAGGCCTAGAGCCTCAGAGGACGTGATCTTTTTTTTTCTTGAGAACAGGCGAAAAAATCAATGCGCGCGCGGATGTCATCCATAAAATTAAGTCGGAGTGGCCTTACATAAAACTAGAAAGGCTGACATCTGCTTTGGAGCAAATGTAGCGTGATTTCACCACGTTTTACGACATGACAGGGAAAGAAGGACAAATACTAGGGAAAACAATGCTGATATAAATATAGTATGAAGTGACATATAACTAAGAATGCAACAGTTGGATAGCTATTCTCTACATTATTGGTTAGGATTTATTTGCATAATGCTGTTGATTTTTAATATTAATAAAGCGTTTATGTCCTGCATTCCATTTCTTGAGAAGGAAGGTTTTACATCTCTACCCCAAAACACTTGAATGCAGTTCAATACTGTCAACATGGTATGACTATATACAGATGTTAATACAGTTAACGCAATTAAATCTCAACAGCCAATCAGCAAGAAGAATAAAGGAAAGCAGCTTATCTGGTTTAAAATGTTAAAATTTGGTTTCACAAATGGCAAGGTATATAGAAATGTAGGTTATATGACATGTTTCTACAACCAAAAAGACTTCTTTTTCTGGCTAACACTTGTATAAAAAACAAAGTAACTATTCCTATTATAAGTATGTGGAAGCCTACACGGGTGTTCATTTAGCAGTGCATCAATTAAGGGGACAGCCAATCAGCGACCAGATCTCCAAACAGGGTGCACCTGCTGCCCATATTTGGGCATTGGCCTTATGCCCAAATATGGTCACACTCCAATCTTGGCAACACACACTGCTACAGTACATTACCTATAACACAAACAAAAAGTTACAATAAAACCATTCTAAAAGCCTGTACCAAGGAAATATAAAAAAAACAAACACCTGGGGGTATTTGGCCACTGTACCTTCATGCCAAATTTTATGTTATTTGGCCCCAAATGAAGGAGTTGAATCAATTTCAAGAAATGGCAGGGGGAAGGAGGAGAAGAGAAAGAAACGTCAGCAAAAACAATATGACATCATCTTTTTTTTATTTTATTTTATTTTAATTCGATTGTGACGATACAATACACTGCCCACCCAGGCAGCATAGCTGATTTCGGGCGCCAAAACAATACAAAGATTAAACGTATACACAATACAACATACTAATACAGTAAACTAACAAGTAAAGATTAAGCTTAAATCAATCAGTTATCAATATAACTGACACTGATGATATAACGTCATCACTAGGTGGTGAAGTCATAATTATATGGGATGTTATCAATATTAGAAACCATGTGTAACTTAACCTAAAACCAATAAAATTCTATTGTTGAAACGAGAATTACCAAATTTAGTAACATATGACTGTCAGGAACCCGTTGCCATGGCAATACAAAAATATTATCTTATTCCAATGATACAGCGTTGTTGCCAACAATATTGTAGGAAAAGTCACCAGCGCTAGCCGTTCAGACGCTATGTGACATCAAAGTTGGCGCGGGCACTTTTAGCCCCCCCCCCGTCCTAGATAGGGTCAACGCGGGCACATGAGGTGCCTTCCCCCGTCCAAGGGGACCAGTGCGCCGGTTATGAAGGACGCGTCTGGCGAGGCCAGGAAGGCGATGGTCTTCGCTACTTCCGAAACTTCTCCGACCCTTCCCTGTATCATCTTGGAATGTTCCAAAAAACAGATGAAAAATAATGGTAATGCATCTTTTCGATCATAAATCATGTTAAACTAACTCATTTTTATTCATTGTTAAGAAGAACTAAAGTCGGAGTAGTGTTCTTTTTCAGCAGGTAATGATTTTTGAAAGTACCTAATGCATGCTTCACGGTATATGGTAAATTACCCATCCAGTAGGTTGGCGTTATGTTGAATACCATTTAATTTTCAGGGAAAAACCTATTTAGACGGTTTTGGCCAATAAAATCACATTAATGACGTCATAATGACGTCATATTACGTCATAACGACATAAAAATTGTAGATATGATAAATTTCCACTAGTACACCATTCTCTAAAAATTTGGTGGTCATACGACATACCGTTCGCGAGTTCTTAGGGGGGGGTCAAAGAGACCCCCCCCCCCGGTCCCCCCGACCCTCCGTCCTAAAAACGAACCCGGTACCGTAC